GTGCCTGTGTGTGAGTGTGTATATGGGTGAGTGTGTATGTGCGTGCCTGTGTGTGTGAGTGTGTATGTGCGTGCCTGTGTGTGAGAGTGTATATGGGCGAGTGTGTATGTGCGTGCCTGTGTGTGTGAGTGTTAATGTGTGTGTGTGAGAGTATATATGTGCGTGCCTGTGTGTGTGAGAGTTTATGTGCGTGCCTGTGTGTGTGAGTGTGTATGTGCGTGCCTGTGTGTGTGAGTGTGTGTAGATGGCGTCCTGTCCAGGGTTTATCGGCCCTGCGCTCCTGGGGTCCAGCTCACCACGGTCCTCTAAGGGTAGAGCGGTTGTTGAAAATGAACGAGTGGATGGATGACTTTCTCCTCACTACATTTTTAGGAATTAAATCCCATAACTAATAACAATAGATTGTTTGTTGTTCTGTAGAAAACAATCCCCTGGGCTACAGTAATTCATGAGCAGGAAACACTGAGGGTAAAATAGCACATGGTTCAACATGGAAATTTGTCAATCAGACAGAGAGAGAAGAAAGGACAGGCGGGAGAGAGGGGGGAACTGACATCATGGTGAGATGCTTTCCTGAGGAGCCTCTGCTGGTTTTCCTGATTTCTTCACAGCAGCGGGGAGCATGAGCGGCGCATGAGACACTGAGCCATTGCGTGTGTGCAGTCATTCAGCCACAGGGGTTATTCAAACAAACGATGATGAGAGAAAAAAGATCTTTGTTCATATTCAGTAAATGTGAAGTGTAGGAAGACGCTCTGTAGGTGTGTGGGCATGTCCTGCTACCAGTGTGAGGAAAATACCCCCATAGTGATAACAGGCACATTGACAAACAGATTAAGTAGTGGTATTTCCATGATAGAAATGACCTTTTTTTATAAACCATTTACTATTGAATCGTAAAGTGCCAAAATGATTCATTTTGTGACTGCATTCACTTTGGTACATTGGTAGGACATAGAAAAGTAAATGTAAGTTGAATAAGAGGCAGTTTGAAGCCCACATGAATAAAGGAATATAAATGAATGTGCCTTGATGGATGTTTTCAGAAGTGGGGCAGGGGAGAGCAGGAGTCCAGATGGGAGATGTGGTAGTTACCCTCTGTAGCGACCCACTCCCATTATCCAGAGAAACAGTACCAGAACTAAGACAACCTGACCTATCTAAGGATCTCAAACCGGCGCAACGCCGACCAGCAGAGGCAAGATCTCGGCTTCAGGATTTGTCAGGATTCAGGAGTAATCTGGTGATTGTGACAGGCTTGTAATCAAGTATGTGATGCCCAGACACTGCATTGTATTCATCTGTCCTCCTGGGGCTTCTTCACCTCAACCTCAACTCTCACAGAAAAACAAGACAAAAAAAATTAATGCACGGCTGGGAGCCGCTCCTTTCTCACAAATCAAGCTTGTATTCTTTTATTTCCATGCCATTTTTGAATGGAGTGCAGGATACTCAAAAGAAAAAACAGAGATCCAGATTTTATTTTGTGCTGTGTGACCTCGCCAACTGTGTCGTGGTCAAACGCAACACCATCAATTCTAAATTATGTTTTTTACACTTCTTTTGCATGTTTGTACTGCCTCCGCTCACTCTGCTGCTCAGCGGTTTACTGTACATCAGAGGAAAAAACAACTTAAGCTTAAATCACTACAGATAGCTCCACTGTTAACAGGGCGATCGTAATTAAATCGTCATTAAAATTTCTCACACAGGCTTGTGTTTCAGAAGCTTCCACTGCGCATTTACACAGAGCAGTGTGCTTTCTGAAAAAATAAAGATAACAACAAAAAAGCATTTTGTTCTACTTCCAGAAAGTCCTGTAAGATTTAGCAATTCGGTGCTGAGGCTTCACTGACACCCTGCAGGAAAGCATAGCAAACAAGGCATGGTTGCACAATCTCTAATAGGAAGAATCAGACCAGGCTTGAAAGCCAGCTGGCCTCTGTGCTTGGCCAAACCCTCTTATCTGTATGTTCATCGTACTCAAGCCAGGATAGTCTCCTGCGATTCATTCCCCTGCACAGGGCGGCACAGGGAAAACAAGCCATGAGCTAAATCAGTAATCTCTCAGGATAAAACAATTCTGAGCGAATAATGTGAAGATAAAAACAGGACAAAACAGAAACATATACACAACCAAGGGAGAATCGACCTGACTCAGAGTAGCTGGGTTTCTTGACCACTGGGCCACAGACTGCAGGAAGAGGCCATTTCAGCTCCTGTATGCCGGATTGTGCTGAGCAGTATCTTGGAATTTGGGGACCAGTCCAACTTCTAGTAGACATTCCCTGAATGAATTGTGTCCAAGTCTGTGTCCTTATGCAAAGGTTATTCTAAAATCTCAAATCTAAGATCCTGTCTTGCATTCCCTGCACAGACCTAATGGAGAAATATTAATAATGTTGCACCATTGATTGAGAGTGACTACAGATGCTGAGTGTTTGAGGATTGTGGGAAAACGTACCCTCATCTTCTACAAGGCAAATGCTACAGTAGATAGTTACTAAGAGAAGCAGCTTTATTACTTGTAGGAGTTTAACCAGCTTTGACTAACATTTTAATAAATAATGGATTTTGATTGCATGCTTTCATATACATTTGTGTGTGTTCGTTTCAATCCAAAGCAAAACAGGTGCTGGTCCCCAATCACCTTAACGTGTTTTTGTGGTGACCCCAAAAGACAATTGTGAATTGCATTTCACTCTCACCTTGTTTTATCAAAACCTGCCTTTGACATATCAGCTAAAGGGGATATTTAGAAAGAATCTAACACTCATTCCGGATTCCTGCTGTCTCATAGTTGTACACATTCTATCAGTATATGTCTCTGCAAACCCTTTCAGTAATTTTTACTGACTTTTGCATCTTTTTCATGTCTCTAAGAACTTGAGTTACAAACCACATGAACATATTATTGGTGCATGAGGAGCATAATAAACCAGAGGCAAGAAAATGTTTTTTTTTAGCTCAGAGAAGCTACTTTTGGAACCAAGTCATTTTGTCATTGATGTCAAAGATACAAAGAAAAGTTTGCCTAGGCAAAGCACCCAATGCTTTCTTAGGCAGACCATGCAAATGCTTCTGAACGGCCTGGGCTACAGGTGTACCACTGAGCCTCTGTGATACAAGGATATATCCAGGTATCTGCTGCTTCTCCTGTTCTTCTCTGCAACTGAAAACACAAATGGCCCAGTGCCACCCCTCCAGATTAGTGGGGTGGAAAATTAAACGTCACAACACTGTTTTTTTTAAAAGAGCTGTGAACACAAATGAGACGCAACAGCAACTGGAGCTAGAGTTCAGTGTGAGCAAGGGTGCAAGAAAGGGGCTTTTTTCATCCAGACGCAATGTAGACAGTACTGTTCAGGTAATAGCTCATCAAGTCAAAACAATGAAGTAGGTAATGGGGAGCAATTGTGTGAGGACTTCAGGCTGAATTTTTGCAATGGAATCAATTGATGTTATATTAATAAATGTCATCTCTGTGTAACATAAGTGGGCATAAAACAAGCTTAAAGCAGGAGGGGGCATCTTTGATCTGTCCTGCGTGACTGCATGTTCATAACTCATTGTTCTTAGAATCACATCCACCATTTTCATTTTGAATCCTAGGAGGACCAGGAGTTGAGTGGCTGGTTTTCTCCAAATGCCAAGTAAAATTTTCCCACCTTTCTCTTTCAGAGTTGATTAAGAAACAAAGATTTACTCTTTTCCTAATTTTAGCTCTTCAGATCTTTAACATTCAACAAGAAGCTGTAAATACTGGGAGGTCATGAATATTAAAAATAGAAATGAGATGACTTCGAACTCGAAACCAAGTGAGCCTTGCAAGGTATCCCTTTTCTCATATTTAGGAATGAATAGAACAGGGCAACATTTGGAAAAATGTTTTTAATGAAAAAATCTATAGAAAATATTTTATATTTTAGCTCTTATACTTTCATAGTACATAATTGTATACATGTTTATAACTGAACATCAATTTAACAATCACTGTTGTATAAAATGCATCAACTCTTTTTTTTTCCTGGTTTGAGTAAAAGGTTTTCTAAAAGTTAGCCATTTTTCTTTGTACATTTTATCAAAACATTTGAAAAATATATCAATAAAGGGTAATATACAGTGTAAGTGGTCAAAGAAGAACTGTTAATTCGAATAAACTAGTGTTAACAGTAGGATGTTATCGATTGACTTAGGGTAAGGTGAGAGGTGCTGATTTGTAACTAAATCAGCAAGTACTGAAAGTTGAAATGAAGTCGACATGTAGTCGAGCTTATTAAAATGCTTTATGCACTGCTTCAGCTTTTCTACAGCCTTCTCCCCACCCTGCACATTAAAAATAACTTAAGCACAGGGGACAAGGCTCATGATGAGAGCAGCAGTCCACAGTAATGTTGTAAGGCTGAGCCACAGATGCAATGTCTGAATAGTGTCACATTGTTGCTTGGGTCCTCTTCAGCCATCCCACAGAGTGCTTAAATGGAGACAATTAGTGATGCACTCAAGAGTCACCCCTCCTTGTCACGGTGGTGGAGGTCCAGCAGCCTAGGAGTTCTTCTGGGGTACCTTTATTGTGATCGTTTTCACTTCAGAATATTCTCTCAGTCCGTATTCGCCCCTGGCAAACATGGGAAAAAAAAACACACAGGATTTTGTTTTTGTTCGATTTGGGGATGGTTGGGCCAAGATGACGTACAGACACATCTCCTTTAACCTGTCTTGTCATTTTGTTTGTCGTGGCCAAATTCTTCCACGCTAGCAGCCAAATCAAGTGACCTGGAGAACACAAGTATGGAAGACAGATCCCCTCGGACAGCAGAAGAAGTGCCTTGTTGCATTGTTTTCAAAACATAGCGCACTGCGTCAGAATTCCGTTGTTTAGTTCATTGCAAATCAAGAAAGCAGTTAATGCATGTTCATATTTGTGCGGATTTTAATCCTACAATTTTTACCCAAATCCCTGCACAATAGCACAGAACGTGCTGCCCTTCATTACTGGCTTGCCTTAGATTAAAACATTGGTCCTGAGCCAGACAGCAGGGGAGGCTACTTACATTTCTCTTCCGATGCCAGACATTTTGAATCCTCCAAACGGACACTGGGCACTCAGAGCGTTGAAACAGTTTATCCTACAGGATACACAAAACATGTATTAACACTCTGTGGGCCTTTGCTTTTCTCCCAGTACAGCTGCCTTAACTATGTTCCACTAAACATACCTGGCAGCTGAAGAGACTTGCAAGAGCAAATATTGAACAGGCATGGTTAGTAGATGTGAAAACCTTTTGGACCTCCTCTATGAGCATTCAATACAGAGCCCTGCCATATTAAAATGAGCAGGCTTGACACCTCACAGTCATTTGCGACCCATCACAGAGTTGCTCTCTGTGCAGAGCAGCCACAAAATTCATGCAGCAGACTGCTGATATTTATATTGTGGGAGCACTGTATGTAGCAATATAGATGCTGCCATTTGGACATCTCAAATTTCTTTGTATTTAACTATTATAATAGTGCCTTTTCAATACAAGCAAAACATTTCCTGAATTTATTGGTTTTTCCTAAAAAAACAGACAATATCAGTTAGGCTTGTTAGACTCTGCGTCTTACCATACTGTTCCAGCCTGCATGGCTGTTGAGACGGTCATGGCCTTGTTTATATCTCTTGTGAAGACTCCTGCTGTCAGGCCATATTCAGAGTTGTTGGCCCTTTCAATCACTTCATCTATGGATTTAAACTTCATGATTTGTTGAACTGGTCCGAAAATCTGCAAAACACGACACTTTGACATGCAAACTATCCAGGAAGGAAAAGTCTATGTAGCAGCTCTTTGCATAACAAAAATAAATGGAGGTCCTTTCTGCACCAGTGGAATGTCAGTGTCTCCTGCAGCTTAAGAATATGTGCAACCAGGTAGCCAAATTGTCTGCAGTAGTCTCCTCGAAACTAGCAAAAAAAACTTCTTGGGTTTCAGTGTGTTAAGAAAGTAGGTGTGTGGAAATCGTAACATTTTAAATTAACATTCTTGAATTAAATACACACCAAATGATCTAATGGAGTGCGAACATGTATAAAAAAGGCTGCACCTCCAGCCTTGCACAAGTTTCAGAGCAGAAACGGACTGCATCCTGTCTCACTCTTTCGCTGTCAGACAGACACATGTCCAGTGTACCCCAGTACACTGCGAGAGCTGTGCTGCTGGAATACGCTCAGACTGTGTGACTAAAGATGCAAAGAGCATTCACTGCAGAAAGCCCCGTGTCTAATATGCGTTACCTCTTCCTTTGCAATCCGCATCTCATCCCTGACGTTGGAGAACACAGTGGGCTCAATGTAGAATCCCTTCCTCCCTATGGCTTTGCCACCGCACTCCAGCTTCGCTCCCTCGCTGATCCCGCTCTGGATCAGCTCCAAGATTTGGCTCTGCTGCTCCTTGCTGATCTGAGAAAGAAAAGAAAAGGCGCTCTTCAGAGACACAGACTTCGGGCTTTGAAAGCAGAATGAATCCCCACTCACTCTGCTGCACCGTTGGTGGTATCCTGACATTCTAAGCACAGGGAGCAAACCTAGGACCAGTAGTGAGATTTAGTGCTCTAGCATGAAACTCAGCAGCATGTGTATTCCTTTTCAGCACGGTATTCAGTGCTCGAACCCCAATCCCTCTAGAACTCCTTATGTCCTCGTATCTGTTATTCAAGAAAAGTAGATTTTTTTTCCCTTCCAGTGATAGAGGTTATTAAAAACCTCCTTCAGAGAAGCTAACTATTGGGGTTGTGGGTAAAGAGGCTGGTGTTGCACCCACCCATCCATTTTCTAACCACTTGGCCCAATACAGGGCTGCAGAGGAGACCGAGCCTATCTCGGCAAGCAACGGGCACCAGGCAGGATGCACCCTGGATGGGATGCTGCGCTGCCACACACACTGACACAGACATAAACGCGCACACACTCACACCAGAGCCCATTGTTCCAGAAGCCAATTAACCAGTATGACTTCGGACTGTGCGAGGAAACAGGAGCGCCTGGGGGAAACCCACGCGAACATGGAGAGAACGTTCAAACTCCACACAGCCAGGACCCCACATCCGGATTCTGAACCCAGGGCCCCGGCGCTTTGAGGCAGCAACGCCCTCTACCACGCGGCCGCGCTGCGTGTTTGAAACTGTTACCTGCGGTCCCTGCTCGGTGGTGGGGTCGAAGGGGCTTCCCACAACTCTCCTCTTGGCACGCTCCACGCTCTTCCGCACAAACTCCTCATAAACGGGCTCCTCCACAAACACGCGGGAGCCGGCAGTGCAGCACTGCCCCTGGTTGAAGAAGACTCCCTGGTGAGCCTGCTCCACGGCATAGTCCACTGTCAGGAGCAGAGGACACAACCAGACGTGCTTTGTTAGGCGAGTCTGCTGCTTGACTGCAGTGCTGTACATCTGCCCAGCTGGGCGGTCTGGAGCTGTGCACTAACCAGACCTTGTTCATTTCTTCCTCAAAGACAAGCTGCTGCCATAAAGGCAGTGGACATCTACCACACTCTGCCACACCTTATCAAATCGAAGATGATAATGGTGAGGCGGGGGCAGCAGGTTGCTTCTCTCTGAAACACAAAATCCTTTTTCTTCCCCTTTCTGTTCATCTTTCAGGCACGTATTTGTTATTTGTCACGGGGCTCTGTTAGGGGTTGGTGGTGGAGTCTTTTACAGCAAGTAAAGGGTTAATTAAGCATGGTCACTTATTAACCTTCCTCAATGCTGGGAGGCGGAACAAAGGGGCTCCTCTTTAATGATTCACATTCTGCGAAAGTCAGGGCTGCTGCTGAAGTCATTTAAAGGCACGGAAACCTGATTTAAATTGGGAAATACGCTTCTCCATGAAACCCCTTATGAAACTATATTGTTTAAAAAGAAATAACATCTTAAGAAGAGGATTCGGATCTACGGTGCACATTATATAGCACTGTCAGTTGTCCAAGCACACAAATCCTCCTTGGTTGTTACTAAAAGAGTCTGGCTGGAACTATCGCTAAGCAGAGAAAAAAAAATACAGTTAAAAAACAATGCTCTTAAAAAGCTCTAGGAGACTTACAATCTGCATCTGCAAAAATAATGTTGGGGCTCTTTCCTCCCAGCTCCAGCGTTACTCTCTTCAAATTACTCCTTCCAGCTGCTTCTTGGATCAGCTTCCCAACCTTTAAGAGGAAATGGAGAAACATTTTACACACATCACGGACAAGCAGCAAAGTCCACCAGCCAGCTCAGTAAATCAGTGGGATGCAGCCATTAAATAACTTAGCAGGTTAGGGAGCTCCAGACTAGAGTAACTTAAGTAGACCTTCCGAAACAGGAGACCTCCAGAAACACATCCGCAATATCAATTAATTTTGGACAAAAATGATGCTAAACTGCAAAAAGATTCACTGCCATGTATTCAAATAAAGCAAGGACATGATACTGCCAGTTCCAAGTTTTATAACCCTAGGGAAAGCTGCATACTAGTTTTTAAGGTGCCTCTTCAGCTATACAACTCATTAACCAGTAGGCTACAGACACATGTAGCTTTTAGCTTTTATTGTATACGAAGTGCTTATTATCATTTCTTTTTCCATAGGAATGGCAGGAGTGCATTTCGATTTGGTAGCCAGCCAAGAACAGCACTACGAGTGTTTGTGGGAGTATGCGTTTGATCCTTTGGCAACAAATTTCTATATCACTCTGTTCGGGTTTCTACCATTATTGTTACCTTTCCCCTCACTGAAGTTATCCTGGTACAGCCTATTTTAAATTTCTACTCAGAAATGAGAGCAACGGTATGCAAATACATACTGCAGTGTCTCAAATATTAACTTAACAGAGAGCATGGGATACAGCTCAACTCCACAAACGCCTATGAAAAAGAGTACAGAGGATTTCTTTATATAAACAGCTCACGCATAGGTATTTGGACATTATCTACAACAGAGTATAAATATTTCTCTGTGCCACTATTTATCAGACGAAAACATCTTTAAAGGCATACAAGTGGAAACCCCTCCCGCATGGGTCGCTTACGATTTCACAACTGTATGCTGAAGGGGAGCGCAGAAGAAAAGCAAAACAAAGAAATAACAGCCTTGCAGATGTTTTAACACTGGACAACTGTCTTTCAAAATAATGCAAGCCTGCATTAATCTCACTTAGGAAATGAAAAGGGAAGCCTGCTGAGCAAATTGGGACAAGTGGTTGAACAGCTGTTAGGCAGCAAACATTTGTTTGGCATGAATCATTCCCCGCTCTCCTGTAGTTCACTTTGATGGTCCTACTTGACTAATAATGAGATCAGGGTATGTTCATTTAACACAGAAAGGAAACGTTCTGCCACCTGATCTACTGTCTAAGGTGATGCGCCTCAGCAGCGTGTATCAGTAACATGGTGTGCCTTGCTCCAATATCAGCTCAACCACTGATGATGAGCTCTTGAAACCTACACCAAGGACTGTCCCTTGTTTCCATAAACAAAGGCTTGTGACTCACTGTCTGTATATTTAAAAGCTTTGGTGCTCAAGTTATTCTATTCCTAATTGACTCCAGAAATGAAATAAGAGACACAACAACAACAAAAAAAAGGTAATTTTGGAGGAAATGTTCTCTAACCACTTATCATAAAAGGGAAAGGCCTTATATTTGCTGGTAGCATGAAATGCAGACCACAAAAGGAATCGGCTTTTGCTTTGCGTTTGCCCTCTTCCATCCCATTCCACAGCGTCACTTCCCACAGTTTTTGCTGGGGCGTAGGCGCTCTTGATCCATCAATCCATCGTTCAATCAATCCATCGTTCTGGATCAGGCTGACTGGGGAAGAGTTTCCTTCCGTAACACATCCCCCGAGGAAGGTGCGTCTTTAATGCTACATCGCAAACTGAATGTGATGGCAGGCTCAAGCTTTTATCAAAAAGAAAACTAAAGCCCTTCACGGCTTTATAACATTCCAGAGTTGCCATGTGTTTTGGTTTCCTGGTGTACCACATTTTCTGACATTCTTGCTAAGACTCAATACATGCAGGTACAGGTGTCTCTTTTTCGAAATTGGGTTTCTTTTAACTCCCCTAGCCCTAGTGTGGCACTGCCACTGCTGTTGCAATTTTCTGAAAACAGCTCCAGCAGCTGTAACTCCTTCCCGTCTCTTAAACCAGCCCAGAAACAAGGAGGAGTAAAACTGCGCTCATGGTTCAAAGTAAACATAGCTATCCAGCTCCCCTCAGAACATGCAATTCCACAATCCTGTCCGTGACAAACATTTGTTTTCCTCCCATTTACACGATGGCCATTTTAATGGAGCAATCTGAGTGATGTACCATTTTGCGAAGATACAACATCAGCCCCCGCTCCTCGGATTCAAACCAACAACCTTTCAGTTATGAGACTCAGAGCCTGTGTTGGTGAGCATCATCTTATTTACCACACTACTGAAGCGACGATTCCCTGTAAAAGCCTCATGTGAAAAGCATGTTTTTTTATCCACTGTTCCTAGGGTAATTTGCAGGATTTGCTTTGGTTACTAGTCTCTATTTTCCCTTATCTGTAAAGTTAATCTATTATGTCTGGGATTCCATACGATTTTCATTATTCCAAAATATCCCACATACTGGCACATTGGAGTCTGCAATGGCCCCTTTTCTGTGTTTTCAGAATCTAGCTAAAAGGAACGCAGAAAAAAGATATGAGGAGGTCGGCGAGCTGCTACATTAACACCGGTCAGCAGAGGGTAAAAGCAGTTGAGCACAGGCACAGCACTGGCAAGACTGTCTGTCTCGTTACAAGATTTACTATGATTCATAACTGTATTGAGTCAGTCAGACATGTTTCACTCACAAAAACACTGCAGCTCCACCTGATTTGCTTCTGACAGGCATGAAAGGCCACAACAGGCATTACAGTCTGGGTCTGAGGCACTTAAGCGCTGTTCGACCTTGATGTGCAAGTTTGTCATTAACATTTGCACTGAAAAAAATCAAGTTTTTTTCTGTAATACCGGAGGCACACAAAGGCAGACTTGGCAGTGAGGTAAACCAGGGTCAGAACTTTGATACTCATTAGACACACATGTGACACTTATAAACTAGCTCAGTACTAGCGAGCACAAAGACAAAGGGGTGTTGCTATTCTGAGGGAGCCAGGTTATAATTTGGGGTTGGCGCTTAAACCCACATTAATATAGCATTATTGGTTCTGAAAGCACCAGGAAGCAGTTTACAGTGGCTTTACAGCAAAACGAACCGTATGTTTCTGTTTAGCATTCATGAAAGACTGCTGCTTCCAATTCATCTCACTTCCTCCCTGTAGAATCTTTATTAGAAATCATTATGCAAATACCGCCTCCTACTTTTTAGAAAAACAAAATGTAAAAGTTCTGCAAGTAAACATTCCACTGGATCCATGAAGTGGGATCTGTCTGCCTACAAGTACAGAGAACAGACGAGAGGAAGAAACCGCATTGTTTTAACACATTTCTGCAAGAAGAAAGCAAGTGGCGGCTCCTCCTGAAACCTGTGTTTTACCTTCTTTGATTCTCAAGGGGTTTATTCCGCTTTTGCAAAACTGTCCATCCATTATTTGGAAAGTCACTTACTCCCAGTAATGGTCAGGCTTTCCATAATCTATCCCAGAATCCTAGGGCTTAAGGCAGGGCTGCACTTGTTCAAGTCGGTCACAGGGCAGACACACACAAACACGATTTAAAGTCTCCAATAAAGCTTGCCAGTGGGTCTTCGGAATATATGTGGAAACCAGACCACCTGGACAAAACCCACGAGGATACAGGCAGGGCATTCAGACTACACATAGAAATCGAAGCCAACATCCAAGATCTGTGAAGCTACAGATCTAACCACCATATCACTGTGCTATCCTGCTGCAAAACTATCTCACTAATAATAGGAATAATTCTAAGTAGAAAACGGACAGTCCGGATCTGCACTGGTGCACAGTGTTACAAGGGTACCTGTTCTGCATGGCGTGGAATAAACCGACACTCATGGTGCCTACACGCCAGAGACTTTCAGTAGGACTGGAACGGTCAGTGATGAGGCTGCAGCAGCCAGAAGGGCAGAACGAGTAGGCAGGTGTGAGTAGGCAGGTAGTGACCCACACTGTCTTTGTCAGACACTCGAGCACCTACTACAGTGAGCCGCAGCAGGCAGTGCTGTCACATGAACGTCTCCTGCTGGAACAGCACAAAGCAGCCGAGGGAGACCCCAAAAGTCCAAAACCCAGGGAAAGTCATGAAAAAGCCACAGGCACAAAAAAAATAACTGGAGGGAGAAATCACTCATTCATGAGCTTGGAAAAGTAGAAACGTCTGCAAAAGTAGAAACGCTTCGTAAAACATGAACGTCCATCTCACAGGAAAATGAGCCACACGCTGAGAGAAAATTTAAGGAGCAAAGAACTAAAGGCCAGATTTAGCAGTCTGATTTTCTTTGTGTTTCTACTGATTTATTACATATGGTAACACCGATGGCTACAGAGCTACAAAGAGCTACAACAAGAGTCCAACAGCGAGTTGGGAGAAAATGTGCATCAGATAAGCAGTATACTGAACACTTCACATTACTAGGCTGTACGTCAGGGAGAAAATCCCACATGGATTCTGCAGCAACGAATTTATCGAAGTTTATAACTGACCTTTGGGAGAAATATCCGATCTTGCACAGCTCTGTGTATATAAATCTCATGCCCAGGACCTCCCCACCCATATCTCTCTCACACCCCCCTCACCCTGCCTCCCCATCGACACCCTTGCAGCAGCTCCCTGGCTCAATCCTCGCAATATTCAGGGCTTTTGGGCTTCCAAACAGCTAGACCGCTGTTCCCACAGCTAGTTGAGTCACGCCAAATACCCACTACTTATTTTGTCCCTTTATCGCATTCACGAGTCTGTAACCAAACTACTGAAACACTCACAACAAAACATTTACTGTTAGCTTATCTTACCCTTGGAAGCCTCCAGTTTGAATGAAATACTGAGTTTAAAAAAATGGGTAGGCACAGTTTTATAATTTCACGAAATGAGACACGATAGGAATAGTCAGAGTACTTTGGAAGGCACTGTATATAACACCGCATTTTAGTGGAAGTGTGAGGAGAAAACAAAACAAGCCCTCTTCTTGCGTTTTCTTTGTTAAATTACCTCAGTTGATCCCGTGAAGGCGATTTTGTCTATGCCCATGTGATTCGCTATTGCAGCTCCTGCTGTTGGCCCAAATCCTGGTAAAATATTGACAACTCCTGGTGGAAAGCCAGCCTGTCAAAACAATATCAGAGGAAACAAGGCTTAGAGGGAAGAGCCAAGCCAAACCCAGGGAAAACCGACTTGCCCAAGTTCCTAACGGAGCGGTGGAGATGGGCTGAAATAAGAGCAACGAGAGAGAGAGAGAGAGAGAGAGAAAAACAAGAAGAATGTGGTCGACATGAAAGCGGCAGGCCCTTGCCTCTTTGATGAGGGCTCCCATGTAGAGGCAGCTCAGCGGTGTTTGTTCAGCGGGTTTGAGAACCACTGTGTTTCCACAGCAAAGCGCTGGGGCGATCTTCCAGGCCACCATCAGCAGCGGGAAGTTCCACTGTGGAAAGGAAAGGAAGAGGTTGGTGGTGTTGGTGGTGGTGGTGAGGGGGGGGGGAAGGGCGTTCGTTAGCTCTCGGCTGTGCCGGCTGTTCGCGGCTCACACACTGCGCCTTCACGCTACTACACCGTGCCGAATATCCCCTGGCTGTGTCTGCGCCTAGAGTTCAAAGCCTGGCATTTCTCACCTGTCCAGCGGCTCGTTTCTGAAGGGCCAGTGCCTTTGTATCCCAGATAATGGGCTTCCACATTGTGCAGGACCTCGCTAGGAAGGAGATGCCCGATGTGTATTTGTTAATCTAGGGGGCTGAGTTTGGCAGGCGCGTCAGGGGCGTTGTTAAGCATTTTCCTTCCCGCGTCGGGAGACGCGATAAACGACAGCAAAACCCAGTCCCTGGAGTGAGATCTGGCAGCTCAGTGTGCTGGCAACGTCCAAACAGTTCTTGGCTGATACCTGGTCTTCCCACCTCAATCCATAGACAGCTTATGAGGTTACCCTTCCATTCCTGCCTCCCTGCCAAGTGCAATTGCCCAAACCCTAGTGCCTGATAAGCACGGCAGAGTGTTCCGTGAACCTGTGCCATGTGTGTATTCCTCCAGACCCCCTTCACTCCCCTCCCAAATGAAAAAACATGCAGCTGGGAGGGCAAGGTTTTATTTGCCTTTGGAGAGGGCCGAAGTGAATTAAAATAAACAGGCAGATACTCACTGGGACGATCTGTCCACAAACGCCGATGGGCTCGTTCCTCGTGAATGTAAAGTAATCCCCATCTGCAAGATGAGGATCGTTATTGTTCAGCGGTCCAGTTGGGCTTGGCAGGACATGAAAAGCAACTGTTCTACAGACACGATGTAGGGCAGAACAGTGATCTATGGCATTAGGCACTAGCAACTCTGAGACATCAAAACACAAGACTTTTATATTGTTTACTCAAGCTGCCCCCCCCCAAAGAAAAAGTAATTAAAAATTCCTCCAGCCCTTTGAAGGCAGATATTAATAATTAAGATGAAAAACGCTAGAAAAGAAACCGAAGTGAACTGCAAATAAACACAAGTGGTGGGTTTAATGTTGTGTGAAAATAAATGATTTCACAAGAATACGTCTTAAAAACAAAGATTCTGGATTCATAGTGGGGAAAGGTCAGCGAAGCCCATCATCTGGGCTGCTCACTCTTTTCTCAGGAGTTTGGGAGAGAGGTACCACTGATGTCAGCTGATGAATGATTAGCCTTGGAGGTGCAGCTCAGGGAGAGCGCACATCAGGTGGCTGGTTTGCGCTGAACCAAACTGGTATTTAGCCCTGGTGGTCAGATAAGAGTGCCCTTTAGTTTCTTACAAAAACAAGCGCTGCAAACCTGTCCTCTGATTACAGGCACACTCAGACTTGTGGCGAACTCTCAAGGGAAGCTTTGGAGGGGAGCACAATGAGAATTTGGCCCACTGTCACGAGAGCAGATCTTCAAACACTGCGGAACACGGGACGTTGCCACTGTAGCAGAGAGCGTGGTATGAACAGCACAGGCATGCGAAAAGAAATACATCAGCGGGAGCCGCGGAGCTTCCAGCTGGGCAACCCCAGCCTCTGTCTCCTCGGTGCTCTGAATGGTCTGCTCTTCTCCGAGCTCCTGCTTATGGCAGTGTTACACAAATGCTGAGCTGCTGTCCTGCAACCTACAGCCTGACAAACTCCCCACCGGGTCCCTTTCACATGGCTAAGCTAGCGAGAACAGACTTGGAGCCCTCATCCCCTGTCAGGGCCCTCCAGTGATGGTGTTCTCAGAGGGAGGCTGGCCAATACCACTCTGTATATCTGTATAGGGACAACACATGTTTGCTTTTCTGCATTCTCTCCCTCCCTAGTCCTCTCCATCCTCTCCCCGTTTCCTTCAAAGCTCCAGCCGCGCCCTGATGTGCATGTCATTACTCCGGCCCATTGTAGAAACGTGCCTGATGCAAAGCAATGCCACACCAAGGCGTTGGGCTATCCTGGGTATTTATATTCACAGATACTCTGTGTGCCATTACAGATTTTCAATATGGTTGCTCTGCAGACAGCGAATCCCAAGCTGTCACATTATCTGCATGTAACTTCATTTGGTCAGGAGTGGACCCAAAGTTTTCCTCTGCCAGCACTGTGCCTTTCATGCGTAGCCCCTTTAACCTTTTAGCAGATACCTGCATTTTCTAAAAGCAAATGGAAAATACCTCAGTCCAATGTGACACCTTTCTTCTATGACACAGGGTTTCTAATATTATTTTTTGAGGTAAATGAATCACACAGTATCATATCCAGGGCCCTGTGCTTTGTAAACATACCCATGGGGATGGTCATGCCATGGATCTTATCGGCCCATCCTGCGAAATATCTCAGTGTTTTTATGGTTCCCTGAAGGTCCACATAGTAAGCCTGGAGAAACGGTTTCCCGCTGTTCAGCGATTCCAGTGTCTGAAACGAAGGGTGGGATGGGGAAAGGGAAAGAAGAGGAGAAGGTTGTATATCATGCAGGGGATGACTGATGCCCAGGATATATCAGAAACATCTGGATCACTGCAGATTCCGACATGTCAGACGGCTTTGTAAAGAGTTTATGTGCTGCCTGTGGAAAATGTGATACCATGATAGCATTATGTTGGCATTTCACTTGAGAACGATGTCCTCATGCTGAGTTCTTATCAGGCAGGGGAGGATTAAGTCTTATCAGCGACCATTTTAAATATTAGGATCCCAAGAGAATGGCATCCCACTTTGTCTACAACCTGTTGTGTTTTTTTTAGTCATTGTTTTCAAAAAGAACATCATTGTTTAATGTTTTTCTGCTTGTTATGAAATTGTGAAACCAATCTGCCTTGTTTTAATAGTTTTTTTTCAAAAGGGGTTTATTAGAAGCATGTGCATGCTACCTTAATAAAAGGCAAGGGATGAAAGTGCTTCATGCAACGTCAACCATAGCACAATCCAGTTTTATTTCTCTCGTCGCAATTGTTATTGGCATAGTTAGCACAGAATGGACCATGTGTTAAACTCACTGTTTCCATCACCACATTTTAAAAGACTGCTTGACAATTAAATCCGACTAAAAAAGCAATTCTACCAACTTTTGTTCTAGCTTGGTTTCCACCTTAGTCAACATAATGTAATAAAAACATTTTAAAAACCAAGAAGAAACAACATGTATGCCCAATAATCTCAAATGCTTTGATGCCTGTTCATATAATACTATTATACAAATATATGTGTTTATAATTTATACAAAATTAACAGAATCCGTGCTATTAAAAAGGTCAGCTCAAAAAAAACTGTAAACCCTTTTGCAATGACATCACTGTAGGCAGAAATATTCGGGAACTAATTGTTACATTGCCATTACAATTATGAGGTAATGGTGGTACTGGATTCTCTTTTATCAAGGGAAAGAGGCACAGATATGAAAAGCATTCCTGTAAGTCTAAGTACGTCTTATCCAGAACATTAGGGGTAAAATGTATTTTGATGGTAGACAGACAACTGGCTAGCTCCTTTAGGCAAGAGAAGGACCAACAGCACCAGTAAGGCCATCGCCATACCGCCAACAGGACTCTGTCCCTCTCCACCAGGTTGGCCAGTTTGTCCAGCAGCCTCCCCCTCTCTGACGCATCCATTATCCTCCACACTGACCCCAGGGAAAAGGCCAAGCGGGCAGCTTGGACTGCCTTGTCCACATCGGCCTGGGGAAAGAGAGACGGCCAGGCAGATGGAGGGGAGGAAGAGAGGAGGGAAGACCATAATTACAAAACGGCAAGTCAGTCCCCCCAAAGCAAACATCTCCTGCACACAAGTACTATCTTCTCCATCCAAACCCTGTTGGTTACAGTTGGCCTGGCATTATCGGTCTCGGCCCTCACAGAAGTGTCAAGGAGAAACCCCAATCTGCTCCTTGGGGCAGTGGAGTCCATGCATCACTAGAAGTCCGATTCCTGAGACACACAGCAGACCTAAAACACCCTCATGTAGAGCTCTCTGTAAAAACATGTTAGCTCCTCTGTCCTTTTTATCCTTTTAGTCTCATGCTCTTTTCATTCACCTTTCTATACTGCACCGAAATTAAAACCCACACCAGGTGAAACATACGGTACAATTGTGCTGCTATTAATTTAAAAGAAGCTTTTGTCTGATGGATGTGAACAGACATTTTTAAGCAATGGGGATGTCCCCAGATTGTCTGCTTGCGAGAAGTTACTATCTTTATGGGGAACACTTTATCACATTTTGACATTGATAATGATACATGTCCACACACACACACTTCTAATGAAATATATCACAAACACTGCTAGGCCACCAGTCCTCATACTGAGGTTATAACCAACAATTGCAACACCTGCAATTATCGAGAGACATGCATCTTAAAAATTCTTTAAATATCCAACACAACTGCCAATACCACCACCCAACTGTATTTATTTAAAGCAGAAATGTTTTTATTTAAAATTGGGATTAGGCTATGCCTTAGCATCCTCTGACAGTACTTCTCCCTACTGCCTGATTTATGAATCCAAAAGGGTACTTTGATTTTCTTCCTCTGTAGATTTTCCAGAAAAAAGGTTCTGCAAAACCTGATTGTCAGGGTGGAGCAAAATATGTTTTCCCCGAAAATGCCTGCATGCCCAACCACATTAGACTAAACTTCATTTTTTTTCTCTTCTTTTTTTTTTCTCGGGCATTTAAACTTGGACAAATGAGACAAGAGAGAGTGCCAGGCAAAAGCAGTGGAAAACAGCATTCCAGGAATGTAACCCAAGAGCAGCGCGAGCACCGCTGTCTGATAAACATTTAGCTATGCATGCTCAAAAATCATCCTTTGATATAACACCAGCTTTCCCACGTGAAAACAAAGAACGAAAAGAGGCAAAGTCGCGATTCTCCTCTTTTAAAACTGGTTTTCTTCTTACCTTTTCTGCCTCCTGCACGTCACAAATCTTCTCTCCATTGGAAGGGTTGTAGGTTGGGAAGGTCTTTCCACTCACTGAGTTCTGCCACTCGTTGTTGATGAAAATCTGGATGGGATGGACAAGTGACAAAACAGCTGTCAAAGGGAATGTTCCATTGCTTTGGTTATTCCAGACTTTACTGGGGCATTGCTTAAATAATTGCCCTCACCATGGGGTCTTCAAATCTTAGAATCTGATAGAACTGGGAAACAAAGCCCTGTCTCATACTCAAATTGCCACCTCTCAAAAAAAAAGGAAACAGCAGCCCTTCGTACTGGCTGGGCGCGATGGCAAAATCAAACTACTGGTTACTGATGTGTTGTAGTTTACCCAGGGTGCTTTGTTGCCATTTCTTTGTCAGCATCGATCGCTTCAACATGCAGGAGTCTGTAAATTCCTCCTATCAATGACTAAGCTGATAGAGCTTAGAAACACAGGTGGCATCACGTGTGAAGAACAGACAGTTAATTTGCTCATAACATCTGACCTCCCTACAATGGGAACCAGGGGAAGACATGCATTGTGGTCACCAATACATGCAACACTACATTTTCCATTTCCGAAGCAGCTGAACTTGCACGTTTACTCTACTACAGAAGACGGACAAATTAATCATTAAAACGCAAATACATTCTGACACTTGAGAAAGGCTTTCTCTTGGGCGGTCACACGTGTACAATTGACTGTATTTATTTAGCTTTCTTTCAACACCCTCCGTCATGGAAATTGGAGCAGTTTTGAGAGAGGCGCTGGTTGTGGTGTCTAAATGCCTTGAACAGTTTCATATAATTGACTCTGAGTATTTCCACTTGGCACTTAGTAAACTGGAATCTGTTTCATTACTGGAAACCAGTACCAAACCCTGTAACACACAGCTTCCGCTTAAAATGCAATGCAGTGCAGAAAATAAATTTTAGGGATTTTGCAACAGTTTCTAATAAAATACAGAAATTAAACATGCAAAGCCAATATATGTAAGTAAATACATACTTGGTGTCATTTTCTCTACTCCAACATAATGAAAACTGATATTGTAATTCAGTTGGTTTCCATACCACTACCTTTCACAAGCGCTCACTGTGTTAGGATTTTATTAGTACAGATTGTGTGCAACTGTTCTGCAGGTTAAGAGAGGGGTTGCAGAAGGAGATTCACTCTTAGGAGAGCCCAAGAAAGGCCAGGGTGTTACATCCCTGTAAGGAGCTAGACAGCTCCCATACACATCCATTTCACAACTAAACTACTCTTTGATTTGTTCACAAAACAGGTGTCAGACTTGGCTGTGTCCTGCACTTAAAGAAGCAGCTCGTTTGAAGCAGATGTTCGGCATTTCGAGGCCTGATGAAACAATTAAAAAATCTGACGTTCATACAAGACGTCAAGTTACAGTAGAAATGCTGATGTGAGCCTGTTTGTTTCCCAGCCCCCTTGTTCATTTCCCATCTTGTGTTTTTTTCAGTTCAGCTGCACAGAGTGAAAAGTGACACAACACAGAGCTTGGGACAGAATTTAAAAATAAAACAGAAGCATGAAATAAGGCTGCAAAGTACGCATAAAAAAGTGAAGACGGTAATATTATTCACCCTTTCAGTGTGTTAAGATAAAGCTAAGTAAATCTCTGAGACACTTGTTTAATTGCTGACAGCACTGATGAATAGACTGTTAAGAACACATCTGTTCATCTGTCCTTTTCTGTATACAGGCAATCACAGCGTTCTTTTTGTGTGGGAGGGGAGAGAAAACATCAAAAACAATCATTAAAAACAGGGCTCATATGTTACTCTCTCTCCAGGATTAGTAACTACTCTACATATTTACTAACGTAAACTTAGAGGCTTAAGTACGTTTTAATTGGCAGTAAACTGTGGACTATTTACTTTAGAGCAGGTATAAAATACCAGGCTTTTGGAAGCAGTTCAAGATTAAATCCCCCAGCTGTCTGGTTTACAAGGAAAACCTAACACTTAAATAACTCACTTTTTGAAAGTTTTAGGTGTTCTGTATCAGCTAGTACCATTCCACATGCACTCATTCTGCAGGGGCTCAGATTCCATTCCAATTAATCTGAGTGAGGTTAGGCACTCCACTTCCCACTGACAGAAAGGCCCAGTGCATTCAGCCTTTCTCCCAGGGCATCACCTGCTCTCTGAAATGTATACATTCTGGTGCATTTAATCTGACTCTCATTAAAGGCACTTCATAAAAGTGTCACAGCTAAGACAACTGATGACACACTACAAAAACAGAAAGGGCTATAGAGCACTGAATTAGATTTTAATTTATAGGAGGCCACTGTAGTGGAGCTCCCTAAATCAGCAGAACCCCTTGACAGCCACAACAGCTTGGTAAGAATGCAATCTGTGGGTAGCTTTATGTTACACGTAACCCCTCTCACACTGCACCAGGAAAAAGAAAAGATAACCGCTGCAAACATCGGAGAGGGCTCCCATCTAAATCATGCCCAGAAAAGGACAGCGCTCTGCGCCCTCTTTGTTCCATCTCCACACTGAATGGCTTTTAACTTTCTAAGTCCCCCTTGAGAAAGTTGATTAAGACAGGGAGTTCGCGCAATAAATCAACTCTCGAGGTTTTATTTTTTTAAAACAAAACTCTTTCAACTGCCAAAAAAGTTGAGGACAGACGTGCAAAAGTGCAGAATTACAAACAGGTCAAGTGCATTGTAGTTCCAGGACGTCAGGGCTCAGTCCTGTTCCTATGCAAAGCACTACTGAATGCTCAATCCCTGAAAGCAAGCCTCAACCCTGGTCTCCTGTGTTCTGCAGAGCACATTTCAGGCTATGTTATCTCAATACGTGGTGGAGTGAATTTTATCAGCGTTCTTACAGTGCCTTTAAAGCCTTTCTTTTGTGGCATGCGTCACATTGAACCAAAATACCATCTTATTGCCCCACAGACTTTCTTTACTTTTTTCTGCATTTAGAACTATTCTTTGTGTCCTCTAGTGCTGGAGGTCTATACGCTGGCTTTTTTTCAAGAAACGGCTGGATGAGATCATTCGATCAGTTACCAAACGAGCTGGTTGGACCAATGCTCTCCTCTTGTTAGGAAAATTGCCGAAGGACTTGTTTTACTCATCTCACTATGGTTGGCAAATACTGTAAATGTATAACACAACAGTGTGCAAGGATCCAGTATCCTTTACACCTCTGCATTTTCGTTTTCCACGAAGGACACGTGCAGAACATCAGAGAGGAAACAGACGAGATGTGGAAGTTAGGCCCATCTCAGCCCATCTGTTGTCCAAATAATACTGATACAATATTATTTGGACAACAGATGAATGGACAGAAGGAAGGATGCACACGTTGAATGAATCTGTTTATTCCATGAGCTCAAAAAATAAAAGTGGCTGACCGAGTACAATGAATCAATAAGACATGCTTACCACTGTCTTGTTTCCTGCTTTTTGTAAACAAGCACATCTCCAGGCATTACAGATGTTTGTGAAAAAATATACCCTCTGGTATCACCCAGAGATCCTGTTCTTTTAACATCCGTTTCTTTGGGGGACTGGATATTCTTAAAATGGGTAAAGTCAGTCCCAACACAGCTGTAAGAAAACATCACTGCTTTCTGATATATTTTCATGGATATACACTTTTTGCAGTGCTTGTCCACTGGTATTTTAGGATCCTGAGTTAGATGTTAAGAATAAACTGAGATGTTGGCTGTTCAACACTAATTAACCATAATGATATGAATGACTTCATCAATGATATCTTCCACTCTCATTATCTTGGCACGAAGTGTGGAATTTTAGGTTTCAACAGGTTTCACACACATTTTTGTCTTTAGAAAAGAACACCCGGCAAACACTTTCATTTCCGCACAGGAAGAGACATTTTTAACATCCCAATAATAATAGCATCCCACAGGAGAAAGTGTTCTGGATGAACAGTGGAATGAATGGGAATTGCTCAGCTCCATTGATTTACGTAGCGTTCTGTGAGCTGATCCGTTTTTCATGTGCTTCTTCCCCTCTGGAGGTTCCAGAGGCTGTGCAAACAGAGGGGCACGAGATGCCAAAGCATGTATCAGAGCGCAGCACATCTGTTTGGCCCCCAGCAGCTTCTCGTGGCTTGGAGGGTTAGGGAATATTTAATGACGCCTCTTTCTTGATGCTTTTTCGGGGGGCACACTAAAAATCCAGAGGCTGAGATTCCACAGCACTGCATAACACAACCGGGCACCTGTGTCTGAGTCTGCTCAGGAAGTTTCATATACTTTCCTATCACGGGAACTTCATTTCCTCTCCCTTGCTGGACGGATTTCAGGACTTATAATTATTATTGTAACAGGCGAGGGAGGGATAGGAGAAGCAGGCCCAGCTTGTGTTTTTCTCGTCTTTATTGCATGTCTGATATAACAAACCTTTAACATTTCCAGTTCGCACGCTCATCACTGCTGCGCTCTCTGGGGAGAGAGAGGCGGGGGTGGGGGCTGGGGGTGGGGGTGGGGGGGGACCCGTTGTGACTTTTCTAAAAGAGTTATTATTCTGAAGGAGCACAGGCTGTGAACCTCATTGCAGTCCTCTACTTTTCAGCAAACCAGCGTTGATTTATAAAGACTATGAGGTAACGGCTTCACATGAAAAGCAAAATTTCACCACTTTTTCTGGCTCCGACAGTGGCTTTAAGGTTGATCTTTAACCCAATGAACATTGCTCAACCTATATTCACACATTTGGGGGGCGAACACTATCTTGCAGCTGCTAGCAGTACTAGATCGGTACATTACAGACCAGGAACACACGCAGTTTCGTATTTAATGTTTAAGTTTAAGTTTCAGCTACTTGCTCTTCTAACAGGGTCAGTGTTCTCGTCTGCAAAGTACATATCTTTTGAAAAGGAGCAAATGTTGTTTTTTTTTCACTCACAGTAAACGGCATTTGAAAATATCTAAATATGGCTCAACAGAAAGTAAACACTATTTGGAAACATTGCACTCAACTGACACAGTTGGGGTTTTTTCTATGTGTACCTTCATGACAGCGTCATGGGATAACATTACATCTTGGCGTTTCTCAATAGTTTCAGTAATTCGTT